CCCGGGGGGGGGGGGGGGGGGAGCCGACTCTATGTCTTAGAGATAGGAGACAGAAGCAATAACCTGCCCTGCCAAGGCCCTGCTCACACCCAGCAGCCATCATCGAGAGGGGCTGCCCCTGGGCTTTCCCTACCTTTCCATCCCGTCCCCAATGAGCTCTTCCCCTTCGTCCTCCTCTTCGGGGCCCCCCTCGGTGCCCAGGAGCCCTTCAGACTCATCCTCGAAGGGCGGCAGGTCCCGGCCGGGGCTGGACGTGAAGGCATCTCCGCGGCGCGAGCTGCGGGCCGGGCTGGTGGCCACGTTCTGCGACTCGGACGAATCCTGCAGGGGACAGAGTCGGGTCAGAGGCCTGCGGAGGACCGGCCCGGCACTCCCAGCAGCCCCCCAGGGACAGGAGCAGGGAGGGGGCAGCAGCACATTCACCCCTGCGGGCAGACCAGTGTGTGGGTGTGCACACGCGTGTGCTCACGTGTCACCCGCCCCAGAGAGCCAGGGCACCCAGCTGGGGGGGGCATCCCTATTTCCCCATGGACCCCCCCATGCAAAGCCCTAGAGAGGCAAACTCCAAGCCCCTTATGGGCCGTCTCTGCCCCACGCAGGGCCCGGGCGGCTGCGGGGGGGGAGGGGGCATGCCCCACTGCTGCCCTCTGGGCACCGGGACCCCGATCCGGATCACACCGCAAGGCCCAGAGCACAGAAGCCCCGTCCCGAGCCCCCGAGCCCGATCCCAATCCACTCCCAGTACCAGTCCCACTTTAAACCCCCAACCCCAGGGCAGGGCAGGGCAGGCCCCGGCCGCCGCCGCTCACCGCCATCCCCGCCGCTGCCCGGCACCTCCTTGCCTAGCCGGATTCCGCGGGAAACGAGCACCACGTGGACAGCAAAAGCGCGCGAAACCTCATGCATAATTAACGAACCCCGATGCATATGCATGAGCACCGCCCCCCTCTCGCGCCTGCGCGGGGAGCTCCGCTGAGCACGGCCCTGCCCTTATCCCGGGGTGGGGCCGCGCTCGCTCTGTGCTCCCAGCTGCTCGCAGCTTTGGAGCCCCCCCGCTCCCGTGCTGGGGACAGTGACAGCAGCAGCAGGGGAAGAGTATGTGCGACTCGGTTTCTTTTGTGTTTTGGGGATGATTAAAAAAGTCCCCAGAGGCCCCTGGGCTGGAAACAGTCTGAAATGGGGGGAGGTGCAGCTGCACCAGTGCACCCGCTCTGGATCTGATTGTACCTTATTGCTCATGCCCCGTTTATCCCTCCTGCCGCCCACCCTGTTCCCTCAGGGCTTCGCATCCTATGTGGCCTGGTTGCCCTGGGGCACCTTCTGCTCAGGAATTGCAGCCACCAGCTGACAGATCCCCTGGGATTGCTTCTCTCTGTGCCCACACGCTGCAGGGCTCAGCCCCGCGCACCCCCTGTCCGACCCTGCCAAGGGCCTTCTCATCGGAGCAGATGCATCCCAGACCGTTGCACCTCCGTGGCGTGGAGATCCTGGCACAGGTCTGTGTGAAGATGCTTTTTCCCTGGATCAAGTTGGTTCGGCTTCCCTCTGTTGGGTATGGGCTTTAGTTCACTGACTGGAGCCACACAGCGGAACAAAACCCCGGATGAGATGAAGAAAGGTGGGAATCGCATTTGGGTGGGTACGAGTCTGCGCGTAGCAGGGAGTACTCGTTCGTGGCTCTCTGGGGCAGCCCTGCCCTTCGGCCATGTCTGTCAGGAGACAGGAGCCTCCATAGCCGTTCAGCACGGGAATGTAGTTCAGGGCAGAAAGTAGAGTCCTTCATCCAGTAGAGATTTGCAGAAGGTGTTTAGGGAGATGGGACATCACTTATCTCTACATTGATTAGAGAGGCTAGGCCAGGGATGGGCAAAATACGGCCCATGGGCCAGATTTGGCCCACAGAGGGACTTTGTCCAGAGCACGGTGGGTCCCTCAGTCCTGCCTGGCCCAGGTGCCATCAGTCTGTGGCGTCCTCTGGGCATGCAGTAGGACTGGGGCGGCTCCAGCCTTTCTAGGCAGCCCAGGCAGCGGTGGCTCCTTCTGGCTGCTGCCACCACTGGCCCCAGCCCCATGGTACTAGTGGGGACCCGCACGCACAGCCTCAGCCCCGACCCTGGCCCACCCTGCACCTGCTCTGGACTCACCTGCCTGCACTGTGCAGTGGCAGTAGCAGCAGCGGTGGCAGCTGGGCACAAGCTGCTGCTTGGTGCAGCGGAAAAGTGGCTACCTCTCCTTCGCCGTTGCTGGACCCTTCTTGCTGCAGCCACCCAGAGCCTGCGCTTGGGCTGCCCTGTGGCTCCGCACTGCCAAGGGAGACATGAGATGGGTTTACAAAATGCTGAATGGTGAAGAGAAAGTGAATGGGGATGTATTGTTTACTCTCTCTCTCTCTCTCTCAATATAAGAACTAGTGTCATAATATAAAACTAATTGGTAGTAAATTTAATGCTAACACAAGGAAGTTGTTTTTCACCCCACATGTAATTTAAGTTTGGACCTCATTGCCACCAGATGCTGTGGAAGTTGACAGTTTAGTGGGCTGTATTTTGCCCACAGGCTGGATTCAGCCCAACAGGCCACTCTATCTGGCTTGCAGGGCCCCTCCAAAAAACAATTATTACAGGCCCACAGCTGCCCCTCTGAAAGCCAGAGGGAGATGCAAGCTTTCAGAAGTGGGTTCTGTGCCTCTACCTCCTGGGAATCCCAGCACTCCAGCTGGGAGCCCCATATGGAGGCACTGAGCTTGATGACATGTGACTGGGCAGCAGTTGAATAGGAAGGGGAGCTTCTGCCTTTTGGGGGGGGTGGGGTATGGGTCCCCCCCACATGCCTTCCCCCTTCCCCATCATGGTGCACAGCTTCCGCTGATGGTGACAACAGCGGGCAGCAGGCCCTCCAGGCACTCATGGCCCACAGTAGGCAGAGCCCCTGGTCCACTGGCAGGGGCCTTCTAGCCAGACCAGGCTGCCTCTGTGCCAGCACATGGGGCTCCCAGCACTTCAGGTGGGAACCATGCACCATTGGATGGTCTTGGCCAGTTTCATGCCTCCACCTGGGGCTTCCAGGACTCCGGTAGGGAGCTGCATGTGGAAGCACAGAGCCTGCCCAGCCCAATGGCAAGGGACTCCCCCACAAACTCCCCACAGCTCTTAGTCCTCGGGCCATCGGCTGGGTGGGCTCTGTGCTTCCATGTGTAGCTCCCAGCTCTCCCCCCAGGAGCAGTGTGCCATCGGGCCAGCCAGGCTGGGTCTGTGCCAGCACCTGTGGCTCCTGGCACTGAAGTTGGAAGCATGCACAGCTGGGCCACGCTGTCAACAGGTAGGAGTCGTCTGGTGGCTGGTGTGAGCTGGGTTTGGTGAGCTCAGTCCAACATCTAGGAGACTAGTGACCATCTCTGGAAAAATCCCACCATGACTTCAGGAACTGGTAGTCAGTCCCAGCAGAAGGCAAGGACTGAAGGTGATGTAGAGGAGGCTGAAGATGAAGTTAGGTTGCCTGGTCCTGAAGATAGGAAGCTTCCAGATCACCCCTCTAAACCCTACCTCCCCCCATACCCACTCCCCCAACCACACCCCTCCCACACAGAGTATACAAGAGTAAGACTGTATTTGGAGCTATTATGCAGTCACCTCTCTATACACTATGCAAACACCCATTCATGAGAAGAAAAATCTTTTTTGAAATAAAATTAAAATATGTTATATTTAAGGTTTCCATATTTCCAGTTTCAAAAAAGAGGACACCTGTCGGGGAGTGGGGGCAGGTAATATGATTGTTCAGGGCAGGCAGTGTTATGCCCGTGCCCTGCTCCACCCCTCACTCCCAAGCCACGCACCCCCTAGCCCTGCCAGTGCCCCTCACTCCTGACCTGCAGCCCTATGGCTCCCCAGCTCCGCAGCATCTGCCAGCTGTCCGACCCCTGCAGGCACAGGCACCAGTCCCAGTGCTCCCAGCCTGGCCATACAGCTCCCTGCTGTCCCCAAAGGACCCCCTTCCCCTACTGGAGAGGCAGGGATTCTCCCTGCCCTGCCATGGCCCCAGTGCCCAGACACTGTGCTTCCCCCAGTGCCAGCAGGCACCCCCCTCACACACCCATCCCCTCCACACACCCCTGCCACACGCGCGTGCGCGCGCGCGCGCGCACACACACACACACACACACACACACACAGAGCCTCCCAGACAGTCCCCAAGCCCTGGCCCTCCAACCCCTGCCCCCACAGACTTACCTGCATGCAGCTGCCAGGGCTGGTCCTACCACCACATGATGCCTCTGCCTTCAATTTCTCTCCCCCTGCTCCTCCCAGCCCCAAGCAGCTCTTTGCTAAGGCAAGATGGGAAGTGCCAGGAAAAACACTGATGCTAAGTAGAGTAAAATCTCAGACATTTTTTTGGTGTTTTAAAAAACCATCCAGACAGAGATGGGAGGATCCAAAAGGAGGACATGTCCAGGAAACCCAGATGTATGGTAACCCTGTTATAGTAGATGTTTGATTTTTAGTATATGATTTTTTTCTGGTTCTAATATGGTACCCCCACCTCCCAAAAGGAGTATTTCTGGGGGCAAGGAGTGGGACTTTCAATGACAAAAATCAGGGGTTAGGAGTGGGACTTCCAATCCCAAGATGGCAATTAGGTGGCAGGGCACCTATCAAGGGGAGGGGCTACTCTTGCACCCTAAATGGGTCACCAAAAGTCACTATGCAGCTCTCCAGCTGAAATAATTGCCCACCCCTGGTCTAGCCAGATTCAAAAAGGGATTGGACACATTCTTGAAGGAAAGGGGCAGCAGTAGGTATTGAGCATGAGACCTGGGGGTACAGCCTCTGGATCAGAACGTCCTGGACCTTAAACGCTGGAGGCTGCAAGTAAGAGAGGAACAGTGGAAGAAAACCTTGGTCATCTCCAGTTCACTCTCCCCTTCAGCATCTGTTCTCTGCCCCTGTGTGACGCAGGCCTATTTGTTGCCTAAGGAACACAGGCCAATGCCCACTAGGAAACACTATAAACCCCCCCTTAAAAAGCAAGGCCACTAAGTAGACAACTGATTTCTGGGGCCAACTAAAGAAATAACAGGGATGGGAGAGAGGTCAGAGGTTTAAAATGAGTGCACCAAGGGGGAATGCTGAGCAGAGCACACCAGCCAGTGCCCACTGGGCTTCAAACAAGTCCAGGGAGCCAGTGAACACTCCCAGTGGTACTCTGCCCAGAGATGGGATTAGACCAGGTACAGGAAAGTGGCCCCATGATCCCTGGGGGTCCTTCCTACCAGCCCCTTCTTCCTGGTGAGATATGTTGTTAACTTAGCCAGGGCCAGGAAGAGCTTGACTAGGAGGTCCCAGGACTTGGTGGGGAGTGCATAAATAAACAGGTGTGGGGAGACATGCAGCCAGAGCCTCAGCAGGAGGTTCTGGAGGAGGCAATGAAGGGGCTTCAGCCCAGTGCACTCCAGGTAGGGGTGTGCCAGGGTCTTGCTCTGCTCACAGAAGGGGCAGGTGTCAGGGGCATCTGTGAACCGCACCAGATAGACACTCGTTGAGTTGGCTTCATGGAGGAGCTGCCAGCTGACGTCCCCACTGGCTCACAGGATCAAAGTGGAGTACAGACTTGTCCACTGGGGACCCTTGTCCTCTCCAAGCAGGTCCTGCCACTTGGGACATGGGAGACTGGGCAAAATGGACCTATGGTCTGACCCAGTAAACGGCAGCTCTTATGTTCTTAGAGTGGCCAAGACACAGGTGGTAAATATTGCCATTAGCTCTTGCATGACACCTGGTGTTATACGTCTCTGAAGCACGTCCCAGTCAGGGGCACAGCACCTTGCCAATGTGCAGCTTTAAACCCAGAACTGGGAACAGAAGTGACTGAAGAGGCAGCCAACAATTATACAACTGAAGGGAAGTTTGCT